CACAAAAAGGAGAGACCGGGAAGTTGTTGATAGTCAGTGGAAGGAGTTCCTGTAGGCAAAGTTCGGGATGACGTAACCTTTGATTCAACTGGCTTAGCTCCTGGAAGGAGGGGCTGTGACCTAATTAAGATCGCTCGTACACGCGACGAATCTGCGTCTCTCTCGCGCGCATCTGACCATTATCTAACCTTAACTAGGTCACGAAGCCCCGCCTTCCAGGAGCCAATCCATTTGAATCAAAGGGTACGCAGATATTTGACTAAAGAAGGATCCCGAGTCGCATAGGCGATCGAGAACAAGATATCGTCGAGTCATTCGTAACTTAATATGTGAGCCTGCACACAAAGCTTCAACGGACGGCACCATTAATATTAACTTCTCGATCAAATCTTTTCTGGCGTAACAAAGTGTGAGAGTGTATACTACTGACTAATTAATATCCTTTCAAAGCAAAAGGGGCAAAGAAACAAGGCGAAGTCGCTGAATTGAGCAGTTTCCAGTCTTCTAAGTTCGTCAAATAGCGCGTATGGTGTGCAATACGCATATTAAGTTACAAATGACTCGAGCATACATACATTAGATGCTTGTTGGGCTGGCTGGTTGCAAATCTAACTCCCATATCTATCTGCTCAGCTATTCTCCAAAAGAAGTTATGTGCATTTGACTGTCCGAATATGGCAGACATCCACTGCCACATCTTCAAGTATTAGGTGAACCGAGAGTTCTGTTGCTTTGATTTTGAAGAATTCGTAACTGCTCCATAGGTGGGCATTTTTGCTTACAAAAACTATCACCCAAAGAAAAATTACCCTATTTTCAGGTGTATAAGCCGCACCCTTTTCGCTCTAAAGGCGAACACGCCAAAAGACTGAGTGTCATCATGGAGCACGTTAAGTGAGAGCAGTATGCGATAAGGCGACCGCTTCGCGAGACATATGCGCGGCGGCACGCCTGGGTCTGCCCGCGTTTAGAGCAGAAAGGGTGCGGCTTATACACCTGAAAATAGGGTATCTAGTTTCTAACAGTGTCCTCCATGCTGTTTGACAATGAGAGGCTCCAGAGATAAAAATCAGACAAGGAGGAGACCACCCAAATCACGATTTTCGAAAATAAATCGTCAAAAATCTGAAACATTGCAGAAAATCCTGGGCGCATGTTTTTATAGGTTTTGTAAACTGCTCTTTCTAATGGTACCGAATTTGTGCTGATCGAGCTTTTCTACAAAAAGTAATGGATTTTCGAAAAATGCAAAAACTGCGAGAATGACGTTTTTTTGGATTTCTCTGCATTTCTCACAAAAATTATAGCTTTTCGTAGAAAAGCTCGATCGACATAGTCTTAGCACCGTTAGAAAGAGCTGCTCACAATACTTCCGAAAAATGCGTTCATAGTTTCTTCTGCAGCGTTACAAATTCTTGACGATTTATTTTCGAATATTGGGACTTTGTGGTTAAAATCAAAGCGACAGAACTTTTTATTCAACCTAATAGCTATCTGATAACACTTTTGTGGAAAGTGTGTGCATTCTTTGTTTTTAGTACACTAAACACCATGCCAATTATGCACTGCTAATTTCGAAGCATATTATGTATTAGCCGAATGTTTTCACACTAGCCGCTTAAAACTTTTTCTAGAGAATCAGCAGATATATTTCGAGCTCAGCGAGACGCATCTAATGATAATGCATCTCATTCCGTTATACCGCACACAGTCAAGACGTAGGGTCCCACAAAGATACTGTATTTTAACCTTGGCAGCAGGCGACAAGTTCAAATCAAGAGCTTCTGAAAAAGCCCGTTTTCGGCGTTTTCGTGCCCTCCAAGCTGCATTTTTAGAATCAGCGGGAGGAATAAGCCCAGGTAAGCAAAAAAGATTCCATTCGAAATTTTGCCCGGACGCTGCCTCTAAGGATCAAAAGTGGTCCGCCCGATACCTCAAGAGAACCGGGAACAATTATAATTTCTTGTAATGAACGCTTCCCGGTAGTTACCCGAATTGCAGGAAACAAATAAATACATAGCACCATCAAAATCCATCAAAACAGAAGAGACTAGATTTGTAACATACGAGAGCTTTGGACTTGTGGTTTTACGGTACAAGGCTACTGGCGAACGAATCCGCAAAAACTAGGGTGTAAACGGTTTTGCTAGCTGCAAAGCGCACGAAACGGAGGGTTTATGATGTAAAGGTCGCACATGCGCGCGCGTCCGCTCAACTAAAATGTTACTTTTGCGCCTTCGCCCAGCAGTAGCCTTGATTTAACCGTCAAACTTCGATTTATGCCGATATCCGCTGATCAGACTGTTTGATGCTTGACGTCAACAAGAAAACTCTGCCGTTCAGAACCGTAATTTTCTCCTTTGATCCTCAGTTTATCTTCGGTACGTTTGTTTTCGATATGACGAGGAATGGAGCGCAATGTCATCGTGTTTGGATGATCCGGATGATATGGTACGCTTGTCCTAGAACTAAAACTGCTTCGTACTATGACAACGAACACTCTACATTGAACGTTCAGAAGTCAGAAATTAAGCTAAGAGAAACAATACCAAGGTGTTTTTACATAGATTTTACGTTCTCAAATCTGTTTACGTCTTAGTTCTCAAATCTGCCCTCATCCGGGTAGGGGAACGAAGACCGCTAGTTTGAGCCGCCTTTCGCGGCCAACTGGTCCTTTTGTGTTGTTGCATGTCGTTCCAGGACCACCACTCCGCGGAGGCGGCCCAAACTGGCGGCTTTCGTTCCCCTACCCCCCCCCCCCTCCTCATCCATCTTCAGTCCAATGAATGGTCTTCGTTCAACCAAAATAGTTTGATGTGTAGAGTTAAACCAGCTAGCCTGATCAGTCCTTTCTTCACTCATGTCTTCCTCGTCTTCCTCGATCATATCGTCATCGAGTTCAGAATCCGACTCCGAAAGTTCTTCTCGTACTGTAAAAAAATATTTAAGCTGATTTTCAATCATCTAAGGTGAAGTATTAAGCTCTTGAAGTGTCTACATACGAGTTAAACCTTGAGATGAAAGCGAATCATGCAATTTCAAACAAACTTGCTGCATAAATCCTGTCCGATTTGCGTTTTCTTGTCTTTGAAGTAGTTTTTCTGGGAAATTTTTGTGCTTAATGCGGGATGTCTGCATCATAGAAAGCGCATTTCTTGCTCTTTCTGATAAATGTTGAATTTCTTGAAATTCTTCAATCTAACAAGATTGCAGGCCTAAAAGCATAGGTGCCCGAAATATCTACTAAAAACCATACTCTTTGAGAATAAATTTCGATAAAATGAATACGAAATTCGTAAGTTCGTAATTAAAAATTCGTAAGAAAATCTTTGCGAGCTTTCTTTGAGTAATTGTGCTCTTCTAATGGTCACCAAATAAGGGTGTAACGGGCTATAGGAGCCTGCATGACGCGAGAGTCGGACGTGCGTACGGCCTCTGCGCCGCGCACGCCCGATGTCACTGGGGCAGGTGCTAGACTTATCCTGTTCAACTGGTTCGTCCGGTTCACTCATTCGCTATTGGTCAAATCAATGCACTGACCAGTAGCAGAGGGGGAACGTCCGGAAGGCGACAAATGACCTAGAACAGGCGCAGCTATTGGCCACGCCCTGTCCGAGTTTATCGTCGCTACAATGCTCTGGATATTTGGATTGGGGCGCCTTTATACACGTTGCTCATGTCTCATTCTCCTCTGATTTTGCTGTTTCTCACATGGTTTTTTTAACAGTTGCTTTTGTTCCGTTGTGTTACATATTATTGATCACTGTGGATGTGATAATTTGCTTTCTTTGCATTTGCCTATCCGTGAACATATCTCCTTCAGAACTATCTCGTAGAATTTTTTTCAGGCTCCGCAAGCAGTATATAAAGTGCAAGTGAGATCATCATAGTAAAGAGGTTAGTATATTTCCGCTTTTTGAGTGATAATTCTATTTTGTCATACAAAGTTAACCACATACCCTATTTTTTACATGTTAATTGGTTATTGTGCAGAGCCGTTCAAGTTTATGATGTGGAGTAGATAGAATGTGAGTGAAGTTCCACTCAGCAACCGTACTGTAAGCTAATCAAGTAAAGGTGAGTTATTTATCCACTTGCATTTTCTTGACAATTCGACTTTTCTTCAGGCTGAACATAGAAGGAGATTTGGAGCACTTCCAGCAAGGATTTCATTTGCGGTGGGATCTCGTTTTTGAGCTCCTTTTTCTTGATTTAGCTATTGCTACACTGTAATGTGTCACTGGTGATAACCATTCCCTTTTCTTATTGGTAGTATCGCTGCCCGTTTTTTTCAATTGAGAATAAAGTATTATCGTTTAAACTGTAGAACAGACAACAGTGCAAAAAAGTAGGTGAAAACAATTGCGAGATTGCTTGGCGAGTTGAGTAAAGACAGTTTTGACTTCAGGAAAAAGATTCTGTATTCCTTCTAGCCAAAGGTAGCTGCTTTGCAAAGTAGGATCGCTTTGACTCGTCTATCTGAGCAATAACACTCTGCATTTGTCATGTCCTGATTATCGCTCATGACAAGCTCAATTGGTAAGGTAAACACATGCTAATTACGTTTTTCCGAAAAGGTTAAAACTCTGTAAATCTGTTTTGAAAGCAAAAAAGGATGAATCAAGCAAAAAATACCTGGTATTACAGCGGTTTTTTTTTTGAAAAGAAATTCCTCCAATATAGCGATTGCGCGGTTATTGGGAGGGAAAATCCACGCAAAAACCTTGATTTGTGTAAGTTCTGGTAAGGCTCTGTGATATACATGTATCTCTGAACAAAGTTCACATGTTTTATGAATAAGCGTCAAAAGGACTCCCACATAATGTTTTCGTGCATCCGCGCGTATACACGAGCCAAATGCGCGAAGGACCTTAGTGGGAGTTTCGCCCAAAATGGCGCGGTCGTCAACGTGTTAAAGAAACGAAGGCTGAAACATTTTTATGCCATATATTCATTAACCATGGTCAAAATAGGCATAGTAAATTTTTTGCATGAGAAGCCTACCTATTAGTAAACAAGTTACCCAGTTGTCCAAGTTCAGGTATTCTTTCCTCCAATTCAGTGAAAATATTTGGATCTATGAATCTGGATATAACAAATCGACTTTTGTAAATCAAAGGAAAGAAAAACGCAGATAAACTGTACTCTTAGATCACAAGAACGCGCTTTCGAAGAGAATGATCTTCTTATATCCCTTTCGTTGGATGATGAGCTGCGATTAAATTCTTCTCATTTGTCCAGAGCTACATTGACCCGTTCCGTAGGTCTGTTACGTTTGATCTTTTTGATCTTGAACTAGTAAGAAAATAAAACTTACACTACCAAACTTATGGACATGTATTCAAGAAAAAGATAAATAGGATCAAAGTATACTCCATACACCGCTTAGCCCATATCTGACCAATAATTTTACCCTACGCAACAAGGGCAGTCATTTGGAACTCCGGAGAATGCTGTCACCATTAGTGCGCCAGCGCGTGTGCCAAAAGAGCGTCAGTCTCGGGCATGATTGACCTCGAGCTCGGTGTCACAGGCGCTCGTGACGGGCGTGGCCTCCATACGCTCGCTCCAACTGGGTTTTGTCCCCTTCCGGACTACACCCGTAGCAGAGGGGTGGACCTGATGAAAGTGTTGAACAGGGTAAGTCTGGCACCTACTTGAGTGGTGGGACGGACATCGGACGTGCGCAGCGCAATGGCCATACGCACGTCCGACTCTAGCAATCATGCAGCCCCTATAGCAATCATTTTAGTTTTATTCAAAAATCAACTTGCTTAAAAATGCAATGAATGCTGCTGAGAATTGACGTTTCATGTAAAAGTTCTAAAGGTAACACTACGCTAACTACACCCTGCACCACTAACTCTTTGACGCTCAAAGCATTCGTAAAAATATATAATTTGAGGCAAAAAATCGGCTTTTCATTTGCTTAAGAAATCTCTAGGTCTTGAGAACTTTAAGAACTCTTTCTGGTCATAAAATAATCTCCAAACTCTTGCCATCTATTGACAGCTACCAAATGCCTGCCAGTAATTGTAGGGCAGTAGCACCATGTCAAAGAAAGACATGCTTGAAGAAAAATCAGTGCTTCTACAAAAGCGTTTTTATAAGGCATAATATCCATCTGAAGTCAACAGCTTGCGCGGTCCTAAAAATTGAGGAAAATGCTTACAGAAAATTTGATTTGAAAAAATATAACATTTTGATGAAATTCATAAAACGGACAGAACTTATGCAGTAGCTTGACCTATAAGCGAGCAGAGTATTGTATAAAAAGCAAACCAAAGGAAATTCCATACAAATTGCCACAGAAGCCTGACTACAGTATATTCCACAGCGATAAAATAAATCTCAAAATATCATTAATGCGAGATAAAATCAAAATTATTTCAATTGGAGCTAGTAATCAGGGAAATTCCCGGGATGTCGCGATTCCGAAAATGTCGCGGACTTCCGCGGTATTCCGTAATTCCGCGACATTCACGGAAATTTTGCACATTCTGTAAGCGGTGTTGTATATCCCGCATAGATGATGATACAAGAGGTACGTACCAGGTGGTGGTTTAGCTCCAGCTGCTGATCCGGTTGCACCAAAAATGAAAAAAGCATGACGAGCGATGAGCTCGCTTAACTCCATCGGCTGAGACGCTGAACTGCAGCATAGCCAAACAAAACACAAAAGCTCAAAGCATACAAAAAGCAAACAAAAGCCAAACTCACAGCACCCAATTTAAGTAAAAAAATAACTCATTGTACAAGCCAGTACCTAGAATGCCGATTTTCTGTCCAAGCCATCGTGCCTTTTGGACCACATCATCCTGCATCAGTTTGAAGCACATGGCGATTAGTGCCATTCCGAACAGCAGGTATAGTGCACACACAATCAGCTTCTCCTGGATGAAAGAGTTTGATGCTGGGATTTATTTCAAAAGCATTGATGTTCAGATAAGCCCTTTTTTCCCGGGATTCGACTGCCGCGACTGCAGTCAGAAGTTTTTTTGGAATGAGCCCGTCACGAATTCGGATATCAATCGAAAAATTCTTTGAATTCTGTTCATGGCTTATCTCCTCCTAATTCGGAGCAAATTTCCTAGTGCAAAGATTAATAGTCGAAAGGTGTGTCCAAATAGTTTGTTTATTGGTGTACTCTAATTTACTCTTACATATTTAATCTCATTTATCCTCCTTCACCCTCTTTCCTTTCTTTTCAGCAAAAATTGAAGGATGCGACAAGAAGTTGGGTAAGCCAGTAATGTTCCTACCTGTGAGCCTTCATCCAGTGCCTGCCCAGGTACGATATCTCCAAATCCTATTGTGCTGAAAAGAAATACTTTTTGTAGCAAAGTCTCCCATTGAAGGCAGCGCCCAGTCAAAAATCTATGAAGATTACTATCCATAGGCAGGCCCGCGAACTAAAGTATCTGAATTGGTTTCGTGTCGATCCACAAAATCTTGCGCTCCTTTTTTATCGTATAATTTGTAAGTTTCACCTGTTACCCAGATTGTCTAATATTGTAGATGTAAGTTATGGAAGTATACCTTAGAGTGATGAAGCAGTAATAGGCACCATCGAACGGATTCCATCCTTCCCACCAACTGAACAACACGGCGCCTCCTAAAATAATCCTCAGAAAAAATCAGCTTAAAAAACAGAATCTCCAAAAATTTAGCGATCGCTTACCTGAGATGAATGCGAAAACGATACAAATACCAACGCTAACGGGCATTTTCTCCTTGTTGTTGCCGTAACCCTGTAAAAAGTACACTATAAGTCCAGAAATAACTTAGAGAAGTCACTTAGAAACAATGTTTACGCAAATCTGAGTATAGCTTTCTTTTGTGGTTGCACCTGAACTCAAACACTGCCTAAGCGGCATCTTTCGTGAATCATTTGCGGCCAGAAAAACTCAATCACAAACTCGAAACCGGAGAACCGGACTGTCCTCTTCACTGGTGGACCGCAGTACCTCAATCACGGTATTACGTAGAATGGACCGCTCGGAATTAGTACGGTCTGGGTGAGTGTTTAGAGTTCTATATCTTGGCCAGGAATGAATCATATAATCTGCCGTTTAGGCGATGGGCACACAAGATTTTGCCAATTAACCCCCACAAAAAAGTGAAAACGCAGATTATCCGAGCCACCAATACTTGCCTGCCGTCGTATTGAATGTAATGACATCTCATCCGACCGTTCTGACCGATCCGACCTATAAGAGCGCCCGTCGAATTCGCGTACCCTAAAGTAGCTTGTTGAAAAAGCTTAATCTAGGTTTAGATTTGGATTTACCTCCGCGACATTGAACTATCCATGCTTGGTTGCTTCATGGCTGCTCCATGGTAGGAATGGTCTCGATTATCTCGTCCAAGATCACGGACAAGATCTCGTGCCATATCGTTCGGCTCGCGCTGTGATGGCTTGCGATCGACATCTTCATCATCGGAGAACGATAACTATAAACGTTAATTTGGACCATATGATAGAAAGACGAAAAAAAGTTCATTTGTGTCCTGCTTCTCGAAAGTCTTGAACTGCAATGATCTTTTAGAGACATAACAAGCTAACTCAAAGTAAGAAGCATAAAACAGAAGAAGCCGTTGATTATTTACAAATGACATGAAAATCAGAAAAAAAATGCTTGGTATGAACTTGAGCAGTAATTGAATGAAAGATAATCAGAGATGCTTGGGCTGCATACAAGCTTGGCCGTGCTAGCGCCGTGCTGAAACTTCGATCGATCGATACGAGGCACACGCGATTCAGGCACGGCGCTGACACAGCACCGGCACGCAGACAACTTTGGTCAATGTCCTAGAAAACAACATCCGCTAGACCATATTCGAAACCGGTCATAGATGATTTTTTTAGATTTGAAAAATTTGTCAGTATCCCCCACCAAGGCACACTCTGGTGTGCTTGACACAAAGATTATGAATTAGAGATAGTATTTTCTGTATAGTAAGAGCTTCAGCAAATTAAATTCTAAAGCCGAAAAGTGGCCATATGCAATAGCAGCCGTGCATAAACAGGGCCATGATTGGTGGAAATGGAAAATTTAGGATGACAGAGGGGTATGCTCGAAAGAGGATTCTGTTAACTATGAGTTCCTAGTGAACTGGAAGAATTTGAAATTTCAACAATTTCATAATGAGATTAGCTTCTACCTGAGCACTAGTCTCTTCTGTTCTTTCTACATCGCTGCCTGCTTTTACCTCGTCATCTCTCGTTCTTGAAATCACTACATTTGGCACGTTAGAGGTCCCCTCGTCTGGTTTTCGTCTTCTAGAATTATTCATGTCAGAATGTAATGAAAGATCGCAATCTTCCAAACCTCTTCTCATGCGAGATATCATGAAATGAAGACACTGAATATACTTTCATCTCAGTGGCTGTATCGTCATGATGTGCTCTCACTGGTATTCCTCCTAAACGGGTTCTATTTCACGGAAAAGGCAAAATGTGAAGAAAAACGTACCCCGGTAATCACGAGCTGGACTTTCCGACGCTGTCGGTCGTTGTTTTCGTCGACGATAACGTTTCTCGTCCAAATCATGCATGCTGAACTGCTCCATATTCATTGTTGTATTCGATTTTTGTAGATTATATCTTCCACTGCCACTGCAAAAAATGGTTATGACAAAGTTCAGTTAGCAATATCGAGATGCCCGAAAAATACCAATAAATTCTTTGGCAAAACAAACAAGGCAGTATCCAGGCAAATCTGGATACATAGGTTCCTTATATGAATAGTGCTTGGGAGGCTTCAAGCTAATGCCAGGCAGTAGCTCATATGATTCAGATATGGCCAAAAAGTTGGACTTCAAACTTAAATCCAGACCGTACTGTCCTTTTGAAACGGACCAATCAGCGTTTTCGAGTACGGTAGAGAGTACGATGTGGAGGAGTTCTAACATGCATTTTTTCGACTAGAAATGGTTCTGGTGTGCTGATAGTTATCAGAAACACCTCACAAACTACTTTTTGAAAAAAATTTTGCAGAAGAATAATTGATAACTTTATGAGCACGACGCCAGTTTTACGGTAGATTAAAAAGTAGAGTTGAATAAAATTATGTCTAGAGTGCCATAATCCAGTCTATTCATTTTACTTTTCTTAGTAAAGACGAAACATTCCTAATTCTACCATTCTTTCTAAGCGGACCAATTAGCGCTCTTGGGTACGGTAGGGAGTACGGTATGGCGTAAAGTTTAGAGTCACATTTCGTGTTCACGAATGAATCATATGAGCTGCAGCTTAGCTAAAATCTCGCTGCCACTTTCCATGGGAAACCCAGATTTCCAGGCTTGCCCGAAATCATATTCGAAAATTTAACTTTAAGTAGAACTGATGTTTCGGAAAAACTTTTTTCTGCACAAATAGCAAATCCCGCATGAAAGTGACGAAAACTCACTTCTTAGCGAACGTATTCCTCGATATCGTCCCGTTGGGACTCCGTGAATGACTGATTTTTCGCCGACCCGGAAGACTAATCGTGTCATAGCGTTGCGCTTCATGACGCCTATTTAACATGAACATGTGCTCGTTTTTGCGTTACCAAAAGAAACACTTTTGCACTCACGCTTCTTGGCTTCTTCCAAAACTGCGCACACTTTTCGTATCCGTAAATCGGCTGCGTCCTCGATTTAGCGACGGATGTCGACGTACGTTATTATAGCGCTGGTTCGACCGGGATGATTGCACTGAAGATTTTTATAAAGAACAACAATACAATAATTTGGTGATATAGAGCACCTCGTCGAACATTGTTGACAGCAGCATTGGGATGATAACGGAATGAAAGGGCAGCCCTTCGAATACGTCGACGATTACGCTGCCATCGACAGTATGCACAGCATACTTTAAAGTATATATAGGTGAAAATCTGGAAATAAAATTACGTGATCTCAAACGCTTATTTTTGCAGCAGCTTGAGATAATTATAGGATTCCAGTGGGACAGTGGAATTCAAAATAGTAGATTTGCCGGTATGGAACCTTCAGCAGCTTCAAAATATATGTTCAAATTAGCGTACTTCGTATACTACACAAGTTTATGACACCAATTTTAGGTTACTGTATAAAGCTGGGATTACAAGAAGTCTTTGTCTAGAATACCAATCGACCTCAAATTTCACTCACTCCGCATAGCAGGGTTAACAAATTTCCATCAGACCAAGAGCAAGCTTTTAAAAATGTGCAAATGACTTGTTTACTTTTGTAAACAATTATAATTTTAAAATTTTTTGAAAATCCAGGTTAGCCCTATAAAGAACTTTTTTTCGGGGGCGTGGCTGACGCCACGCACCTTCATTTGAAAAAAATTTTTGCCGCCCCTCCCCCGGTCTGAAATCCTGGGACCGCCACTGCCACATAGTTGTTATGATTGAGAGCTTCATTGGAGGTGTGGTTGACCTTCTTGTCTATCAAAGCTTACAAAGGTTATGGGTTGTGCTTGACGGTTTTTCATTCCCTTCCCCTTCCATCAACACGGTTCCCTCTCCCATATTCTGCGCAGGTTGTTCAAGTTCTTCGTGTCCCGGCGCGATTTTTCATCCCCTCATTCTCCAAAAATGCAATGAAACGATATTTTCGCAAGGTAAGTAATCTTGTTTCGGATATTACTACTGCATCTGTCCATTTCTCTTTCGTCATGTTCTGTTGGAACTGTCCATTTTTGTTATTTGATTTACTGCAAACCATATTGGTATTTGAAATGCTATCACCACTATTTTTGGTTCTAAAAAAGCAAAATGCTTGTAAATCATGGCATTAATTCAAGATAAAGGAGAAGCGTGCTTACCTTAGCGGGGAAGAAGGTTACTTGCTTAATAATAATAAACCCTTTTCATAGAATAAACTGCTAGTATTGATAAAACTTTTTTTGTACTGTGCACATGTAGCACATTTGTACAAAATCTTTTCTCAGAAATTTTCTAGGATCAAGTTATGCTGAAATGCAAGCCATCGAAGCTGTCATCAATCTTAACGTCAGTCTGTGACAAAATCCATAGGGAACGACAAAAACGTTTTCTTTTAGTTGGCTTGAGTCGTTTTAGTTCAACAAATATGGAAAGCTTGAATTTGGGTGCACCAAACTTCTACATCCTCGATATCAAAAAACAAAGTCGATAATAGCGTCGAAATCAAAATAAAACTACCTGCGCAAGGGTTTCAGCAATATTTGCAAGGCACAATAACATCAATGGTATACCGATCATCGCATAAATGATCGTCATCAAGCGACCAGTATCTGTTTTTGGGCAGATGTGCCCATACCCTAAAAATGCGTTAAATGTTTACTTTTGACAGTAGAAATTATTGTTGTAAGTATACAATACCGCTCACATTTTTTGAAAAATAGACGCGAATGTATGGACATGTATGGACATCAGCGTCGCGTGGCCATATCTCGCTTCAGAGTGGACAAATTCTGAATCCAAAGCCACCATTCGATTCAGCTCGGCGCGGAGAATCTTCTGATATATTGGAAGTGGGGGTACGATGTCTTCGATATTCCGTTTTCAGTTTTTTCAATTTGTTCTGCGGAGGTCGTTTCGCGAATATGTGAAGCAACGCCTACCCAACATAGAAGACTTTACTAAGTACTATTCGATAATACTGTTCTTTAGATTATTGTGCGCTAGAAATAGGCTCAGACTTCTTTTCAAAGGAGATAGAAGCGTTGGTGAATTTTGGAAAAATCACGCGTTTTTAAATTCTACTCGCCACAACTTCCTTCGAAATAAGTATATTTTAAATCCGAAAACAGCGCCTTGCTCAACTCATCAAGGCGAATCTTCCTATGTACAGCATGTCCTTGATATTACGATTTCAGTATTCTTGAATCTTTCTGAAGACGTCTTTTCGCGAAGGTGTAAAGCAACGAGCATTGTCCCGAGTACATTCCAGCAAGGATATTTCGATAGCACTTTTTCTGTTAATTATAATGTGCTAAATAGTAGCCGCAGGTTTCTTCTCAAAGGAAGTAGAACGGCGAGTGAATTGTGGAAAAATCTTGTCGTCCCAAATTCTACTCGCCATACCGCAGGATACGAAGCTATCTTGCTAAACAGATGTGAGTTTCGAAATCAGCAGGTCGCATAACCTCTACGAGCAAGTTTTCCGATATGTTCGGGTTATTCCATTTTTTCTCATTTTACGCTCCGGAAGCTCGCCGATGGATTTTGGTCAAAATGTTGATGCTCTTGAATTGCAAGCAAACTTCGCTTATAGAGGTTTTCAAACACGCTCTTTACGAAAATCGTGGTCTTTGAGGATTACAGGGTCTTTTTGGAGAGATGCGATGAGGTGACTGTAACTGCATCAAGAAAGTGCGTAATTTTGGCCTCACTTCTCGCGTATCTGTCAGAAACCTTGCCTGCTTGCTTTTCTCAGTCAAAGTTACTAGGAATTGTGCTATCGAATGGTGCATTACTCAGGGTCCACTCTGTGAAATTCGCCGAGTTACGAGCCTACGAAAACACGTTCTCATGAATTTTGCTCAAAATGTAAAGATCGCATATCTCGTCGAAATTCCTCCGTGAGCGCTTGTATGCGCTCGTTGCAGATATTATGTTCGCTTCGTCGAACCACTCCCACTGTACTGAATATGGTGCTTGCGTCTGCTTCAGTTGCTCAATTGATTACCAAAGCTATTTCGTGGCTAGAGCTCAAAGCACCAAATCTAACACAATAAGATTCATTAAAAGATTCCAGATACTTTACAATCTCAGAGCACGAATGTTTTCAAACACGGAATCAACACTCTTGATCTCTTACGTTTGAGGCATTCTGAGAATGAGTAATGAATAGCACCAATTTGTCATCTGCATTGCTATAGCTGGCCATGTGCGATTACATTATCCGACCACAAAATGCATACCAAATACAACCATCAATTTGTGTTTTTTTTTTTCAAATATTATTTTCTTTCAATTGTCTTACTAACCCATGTCTTGCTATTACGTTAGTTCAGGTTTAACCAATTCACTTCTCTTCGCAGTCATTACAGCTTGTTGACTTGCTCTTAAATGAATTACAAAAAGTGAAACTATTTGATATTCTTTCGGAGTCATTGGACTCTCCCCGGAATCATTTGGGCAAGGTTAATTGGTATTACTGCACCAACCGAGCCCCGCTTTGCTTCATTATTGCAAGAGCATCTTCTGCTGGCAAATGAGTTGGCACGATTGCCATCTCCATAGATTACAATAACCTAACTTGATCACGCTCACGTATGAGTTATCCATCATTACAACCCTTATTGAGATTCACTTGGAGTCACTGGCTCACACTGGTTTACTGGTTTGGTGGGGTCAGATAACATACCCACCATCAAACCTTGTTTGCTTGTTAAAATCAAAATATTTTGCTGGCAAAAGGGGGCATGGGTACATCTCCATGAATCGCATCATTTGATTCCGATAATTATAATCATAGAGCAGTCAATTACAAGCTTTCATCACATTTTTATCAAGATTAGATCTAAACTAATGATGCACTATCGCTGCGGTTAGGGTATAAATGACTGCTTTTTATTCTATTGTATGGAATGCCAAGAGCGTATAGAATAAATAAATAAATAAATAAAAATGTGAAAGGATTTGATCAGCGCGTTGTACAAGCGCTCACGGAGGTATTTCGACGAGATATGCGATTTTTACATTTTGGGCAAAATCCATGAGAACGTGTTTTCGTAGGCTCGTAACTCGGCGAATTTCACAGAGTGGACCCTGAGTAATGCACCATTCGATAGCACAATTCCTAGTAACTTTGCAGAGAAAAGCAAGCAGGCAAGGTTTCTGACAGATACGCGAGAAGTGAGGCCAAAATTACGCACTTTCGTGATGCAGTTACAGTCACCTCATCGCATCTCTCCAAAAAGACCCTGTAATCCTCAAAGACCACGATTTTCGTAAAGAGCGTGTTTGAAAACCTCTATAAGCGAAGTTTGCTTGCAATTCAAGAGCATCAACATTTTGACCAAAATCCATCGGCGAGCTTCCGGAGCGTAAAATGAGAAAAAATGGAATAACCCGAACATATCGGAAAACTTGCTCATAGAGGTTATGCGACCTGCTGATTTCGAAACTCACATCTGTTTAGCAAGATAGCTTCGTATCCTGCGGATATGGCGAGTAGAATTTGGGACGACAAGATTTTCACAATTCACTCGCCGTTCTACTTCCTTTGAGAAGAAACCTGCGGCTACTATTTAGCACATTATAATCTACAGAAAAAGTGCTATCGAAATATCCTTGCTGGGATGTACTCGGGACAATGCTCGTTGCTTTACACCTTCGCGAAAAGACGCCTTCAGAAAGGTTCAAGAATACTGAAATCGAAATATCAAGGACATGCTATATACGAGAAGATTCGCCTTGATGAGCTGAGCAAGGCGCTGTTTTCTGATTAAAAATATACTTGTTCCGAAGGAAGTTATGGCGAGTAGAATTTAAAAACGCGTGATTTTTCCAAAATTCACCAACGCTTCTATCTCCTTTGAAAAGAAGTCTGAGCCTATTTTTTAGCGCACAATAATCTAAAGAACAGTATATCGAATAGTACTTAGTAAAGTCTTCTATGTTGGGTAGGCGTTGCTTCACATATTCGCGAAAGGACCTCCGCAGAACAAATTGAAAAAACTGAAAACGGAATATCGAAGACATCGTACCCCCACTTCCAATATATCAGAAGATTCTCCGCGCCGAGCTGAATCGAATGGTGGCTTTGGATTCAGAATTTGTCCACTCTGAAGCGAGATATGGCCACGCGACGCTGATGTATGGACATGTCCATACATGTATGGACATGTACGGACATGTACGGACATGTCCATACATGTATGGACATGTCCGTACATGTATGGACATGTCCGTACATGTCCATACATGTCCATACATTCGCGTCTATTTTTCAAAAAATGTGAGCGGTATTGTACGAAGGAAACGTAGAATAAAATGATGTACCTATGGTAGTGAATACTGTAATGGAATACAGTAATGCTCCCGAAAACGTCCATTGATACGTGGGTCGAGTATCGTCATGTTCGTCATAACCTATACGAATAACTTTGGAACGAAATGAATTTGGGAAAGAAAGAAAATATGAACTAAAGTGGTAGCATCCAAAGCAAACTGTAATTCAGCTGGATTGGCGGCTGGGAGGCAGGGCTTTATGACCTAGTTGAGGCCCCCGCGCCCGCGACGCAGTCTGCGTCTCTCTCGCGCGCGTGATCTCTGATCTTCCCTAGTCTTAACTAGGTCACGAAGCCCCGCCTTTCAGCCGCCATGCCAGTTGAATCAAAGGGTAAATCTCGAAAAATAATTCGAACTTTAACTAACCTTCAAAATTCACAGCTTCTACTAGCAATTTTTCGTAATGTTTGAGCAAACGATGAGCTTTACTTTTCACTTCAGCTTCTTCAATCACAGTGCTGTTGTTGATGAAATCGTATAGTTCGTGGACAACCTAGTATTCGAAATTACTCTAGCACAAACTGGACAAAGTAGATGACTCACATTCCATGTATCGTTCTTGATGTGGCCTTGAAATTCCATTTCTTTCGGATATTCTATGGCTTGGAACATGAAAGCGCCCACAACTGCGTAAACGGCCACCATAAAACACAAACCAACATGAGTAACGATGAACGCGGTCGCCTAAAAATAATCTCAAACAATTGGTTCAGTTATCAAAAGGCTGAGGGGTATTGGGTATCTTCGGGGTATAATTTTCAAAGTGATAACAACTGGGCAATCCTAAACAGCCACTGCCCAAACAGCACAACTTAAAATTCATTCGTGGACTCGAATTGGACATCTTTAACCCGATACCGTACTCAAGAACGTTGATTGGTCCGCTTTGAAATGAATACGACAGTGGGCAACAATTTAGACAGTTTCCTCAGCTACAGACGAATACTATGACGTTGAATGTTCGTTAATATTTTATCAGTGAAACGTTCCTAGTCATATTTTTGCTTACAGCGAATTGGCCCTTTAAAAGCCTAAGCGAGCTAATACTTACCACAAATTTCGTTGTTACTCTTTGATTCAACTGGCTTGGCGACTGGAAGGCGGGGCTTCGTGACCTAATTAAGGTCAGGTAATGATCAGAGAGCAGGCACGCGAGAGAGACGCAGATTGCGTCGCGGGCGCGAACGGCCTTAATCAGGTCAGAAAGCCCCACCTTCCAGCCGTCAAGCCAGTTGAATCAAAGTCTATATTCCACTGGAATGCGCTACTTTTATTTTGGAACACCACCCAAACGCACATCTTTCAGCTCTATTACAGTATGAGTGAAATCCCAAGAGTACATTTACGTCAACATATGAATGTGCGAAATTGAGAGCGAAAGATGGTTGAGTTGACTGCCTATGCACTCTCAAGTAACATATCCAATAATGTTATTAAGTAATACCAATGCATATTCTTTAATGACTCTGTTCTTGAACGCAGAACTTGGCCATTAATGAATTGTAAAAGCTACCGCTAAGTTGCCTTACCGGAGGTCTTTGAATCAGTATCCATAGAAAATTACATAACCAACTTACCTACTTCCCTAGGAACACTTTTAGAAACCGGAAAAGTCCTTTAAACACGGTGCGAGCACCTTCAATTACTGGTTCACTAGTTACAAGTAACAATTCAAGTTTAACATCGTCAAAATACAAAAATAGAATAGGTCACGGTTTGAACTCAATCTGATTACACTGCTATTCGGGGCTGAAAATAAGTTCGTTTTGGTATGCAAATCTTCATAACAAATTTTCTTGTAGTTTCTTATCCATGATTTTTTGTGGGAAAGTAGTTCAAACTTTTCCTATCACACATCAAATATTCAGGATTTTTTATCATCAGTAAAGACACTTATACCCTAACATGGCTAAATTTCCAAAAACTCAATTTTTTACCTTCCTAAACTTCGTTCTCATGCTGGAATGTATGTAGAAAACAAGCTTAGTCTCTGGATACAGAGGATGTTTTACTATTTGATAAATAATAATGAAAATTGTGATCTGCCACTTTGAAAATCTTTTAGCAAAAAAACCAAATTTTCTCATATTTGGGCAGTGTGAGAATTTTGAGATTGCTCTCTTCTTTGCGGATTTTTTTTCCTTGGAAGAAAAGTTTTACTCAAAAAGAGTTTATATTTTAATCTCCACTGAAGTCCTCTTTTCATTATATCAAACATTGGACAAAAATTTAGCTGCAGTTGTGAGAGCCGCAAAAGCGACCGAAATTATTTATTAGCCAACCTAATAGCAAATTCTAGCATGACCCTGCTCTTTCTATAAAAAATACGCGTGATTTGATGCCTGTTTTTGACAAAGTGGATTTTAGGACAAAATGTTCTGTCAGGCAAGATTTTCTCCCTCAGCGATTGTTGGCATTCTTCGAGGATGGCGGGCGACTCGCTGCGTCATTGTCTTCGCAACCTCTCCGGGGAATTCTCACCAAACGGACCTCCTCCAGCAGCCAAGCCAATCGATTCATGTCATGGACTTCAAAAACTCACCATTTAACTTATGGGAAGCGACATACAAAATGGAAATGTAGAACTGAGGCAGTGACCAATATTATAAAAAGATTTCCGCCGAAATGTAAGGCTCAATAAAAAGTTCCGAAAAAGCCTGTTGTGGCATAGAAGAAGTTGAACAATATACTATCATCACGCCAAGGTTTAAAGAAAGGGGAACTTATAAAAAAGCTATTCCAGAAATTTATGAAAAAGTGCACTAAATTAAATTAAACTCCAAGATTTTTTTGTCATCTATCAAGTCTCTAAAGGCGAATGGATTGGAGCACTTTATTTTGTCTATGAAAGAAGAGTTTGTGCACTTCACAAACTTGTTCAAAGCAGCTCTCATATCTATCTATTCCATCAAAAAACCTTGTCGTATTTTACCCTTTGAATTTTGTTGATATTTGTGGCCATTGTGACTGCCGTAATACATCGGGAAGAGCTGAGTTGCAAGTTCGCAGGGAAAGATAATATAAAACACTGTTAAAAGTCGAGGATTTGCAAGTTTTTTTCATTGTGGAAAAGTTATGTTCTGCACGAACTCATTAAAACTCCCAGCTTTTACGACAAATTATCATTAAAAATTCCATAAGAGAATTTATTTTCGAATGAATCACTGTACAGCGTAACTTTCAATATGGACGATGTCTGCTGACTTCATGAACCCGACACAAAATTTTCAAAAATGCGAAATTAGCCAATGGTAAGAATCACATAGACAAATTTTTGGAATAGTCTGGATCCTATAGTTGTAACGAACAGAAATTTTCGCCGAATGAACGAATATCGAATAATCAATTTTTGAAAATTTTTCGAACGAATGAATATCGAATAATTGATTTTCGAAATTTTTTCGAACGAATGATTATCGAATATTTGATTTTCGAAAGTTTTTCAAATGAACGAATTTTATTCGACTTTCGATTTTCATTTTATTCGAATTCGAATATTCGAATATTGGCACATTCCACAACTCGAATGAACGAATACTTGAATAACCGAACTTGATCGAATATTCGACTAATTTCGAATAAATGTTCGAATATTATTCGAATATTTGAACGCAATTTTCGAATATTTGAATATTCGAATAACTATCTTTTCAAACTACTCGAATAAACGAATATTCGAATAACCGTTTTTTAAAACTCCTCGAATGAACGAATATTCGATCAAGTCATTTTTCGAAATCATCGAATGAACGAATTATTCGAATAAAGACCTTTATAAATTATTCGACTATTCGAACAATCGAATAAATGGACTTTCTCGAATATTCGACTATTCGAATATTCGAATAGTCGAATATTTCGAATAAATTATTCGAATACGAATATTCGGTTCCAACTATACTGGATTGTGGTAAAAGTTCATTATTTCGAGCTTAGTTACAGAAAAAAGTGAAGCAAAGCTTTCAAACTGATTCTGGATCTAATCCTAGCTGCTTTCTGCGGACCGGAATCCAAAGCAAAGATGGTACAGGGTGTCCCAAAAGTCTTTGAGCCTAACTTTCCAACGTAGTAACTTTGTTAGTACCTTGCTTATCGGTCAGATTTTGCATATGCAGACTTCGTCTGGTTTTCAGTATTCCTCAAGAAATCATATCGTTTGCGCTGCACATTCTCAAGATATTGCTCTTGGAGCAAATGGTACTACGGCTTTGAGGACGATTATTCAATGTAAACGTACCCTTTATTCAAACATCTATGGCTTTTTTGCCTTTGAAGTTCTTGCGGAATCTTAAACTGCATATCGTAGAGCTACACTTTACGCTTACAGTGCAGAACTAATCAGTAGTCTTTGTTCGTTAATGTAGGATTAAGATACGAACACTCAAAGTAGTGCCGCGCCATTAAGAAAAAAAAGTTCTCGGGAACAAAAATCCGAGAAAGCTGAAAACTCCAACACCAATTCAGTTTGAGTCACTAATTCTGGCTGTAACCTCTGCATTGCTTACTGAAACATCATTTTAAAGCCAATCCATGTACACCATAATTGCTGTTTTGTTGATGTTCTCAGGAACTTGATTGCTACGTTTTGACACTTTTGCTGAATTTCATAAGCGCGCTTCTCAGATCAACGTGCTTTTAGTCGCTGACTCGAAAGTCTTTGACTTTTTCCTGTGATTAGTTATGCACAGCAAGGTTTGCTCTGTTCCACACTAAATTTTGGGCAGTCTGGAACGCTTGCTTCAGAAGGTGTGAGACATTCTCGACGTCAACTACTTGCCTGCCACGGTGCATGCGTCCCGCAAGAGTGTGAGGGCTTGCGTGAAGGCCAAATGAGAATTTTTCAAAATCTGAGTGTACCTTGTTAGTTTGTAGGTTCTTCACAAGATTCCTTCTAAATTTCATGTGTCACTGTTGCTTCGTACAGTCGCAGCTAATAAAAATACTAGGCTCAAAGACTTTTGGGACACCCTGTAGAATCTGCTTGATGAAGATCTTGCTCCAGGTTACGTAAAATAGTAATTACTCGAAACGTTTGTTCTTTTACTTGAAACTCTTTGTTTCTTCCGTTTCATTATTTGCCCTTTCAATCGTAACTATAAGCAGGATGAAGTTATGAAGCATAGCATGAGTATAGAACTTTTTTATGGAAATCTCCATATGTGGCAAGTTACTGCAAAGGAACATTTACTCTTTTGCTTATTTGTTGCAAACATTATCCGAGCCAGGAAGTCGTCACTGCTGTAGTAAATCAATCACATGATGCACAAAGATCTTCTAGACTTGCAAACAGCAGCAGGGTTCTATTCCTTCAAGTAAAAAAACCAACTTTGTGCAAATGAAGGGAAAAAACATTGAAGAGAAGACAGAGAAGAAGTAGAGCGAGCAGAAAGCAGAGACAAAGCATAGTGTAGAAAATCTAAGCTATCTTTTGACTTAAGAAAAAGAAAAAACAAATAAGTAAGGTTCTTTGAAAAAGGAGTTTTATTTGGAGACGACTAAATAAGAATCCGTTTGATGTAACGATCATTGTTTAGAACTAAATAAATCCCATAATGCTTTGAAGTGTCAAGCGGCCGAACTCGCAGCTAGAAGTTTCGTCTCTCGTGTTCAAATAGTTGTAAAAAAATAAAACGAGCGCAAGAACTTACGCATCAATTTGAAAATCCCAAAAAATCTCGTAAAGGTTACAAAAGCGAGGTAAACGCACCCTCTTGATGAATGTAGTAGTTCGCAGACAGCATGAACGTATTTCATCCCTCATCACGACTGGCGATATCCGAACAAAGTCGAGTACGAGTGACGGGGTGATGACGCCGTCATAGGCTCACAGCAAGACGATCTCGAAACAATAGAAAATCAAATGTTTGCATAAAGCAAATTTGACAAGAATGATTACGCATGACTAATCACAAGTACCCTTGATTTAACTGGATAGGCGGCTGGAAGGCGGGGCTTCGTGACCTGTAAGGCTTGTGAGTGGTCAGAGAGCACGCGCGCGGGAGAGACGCAGACTGCGTCGAGGGCGCGAGCGGCCTTAATCAGGTCACGAAGCCCGCCTTCCATCCGCCAAGCCAGTTGAATCAAAGGGTAAACTTCAAAAATGTTTAATGTAAGGTGAAAAATTTAAATCGAAGCAAAGTCTGTGAGAGAACCTGAGGAAATCAAAAGCGATAAAGCAAGTATTTCGATTTCAGTAATGCTCGGAAAAATGTGACAGGATTCTAGACAAAAAGTACCCCTGGACAAAAAAAAGTACTGAAAGCGTATAGAAATGAGCACGTCTTCCACCACCGAAGCGAAAAAATTCACAAAAGTATCCTGAGAGCACTAAAAAAAAGAAGATAATTCCGGCGTCAAAGAGGCAGTAGAACAGAACGACTCAGCAAAACTGTGAGTTTTTGATAAGCAGACAGCGAATCAAGAAGTTCTTTGTTCGGTAATGGTCAATTTTTCCATAGAACCCGAAGTAAAGAATAGTCTATGCGAGGGACCGAATGCTACTACCAAAAATGCAGATGTTTACATATTAACCTCTTCCATCCATTATGACCGCGGATGCGACTGCTTCACTGTCAACGAAGAAAACAAAAGATCTTAAGAAGAGCGAAGAAGAGACCAGATATTAGTACACTAATGGTAAATACATTTATAGTACTGACAGAAAGCCGTAGGGCTGCGCTAACAAAGCACTTTTGTAAAAATATGAAAGCATGAGGTTAGTCCCTCTCCTTTTGGCATCAGTCGAAAGCTTTTGACGAGCTCTTTCAAATATAGATGAACAATGAACGACACGTATTACTCGAATAACGCTAAAATGAGAGGGGCTGCCTCAACAGTGCAGTGTTGCTAAGAAAAAGATGAAAACCAAAAAAATCGAATGATGTTACAAAAGTTTTCCGAATCAGAGTACATAATATGCTTCCAAATTAGCGGATCAAAATATGTGAACAAAATTCAGATACTTCGCCTACTCCAAACAAGCGGCATGACTCCTCTCTTTTGCTTCTCTGCCTTACTCTCAACTGATTAGAACCTCTCTGAAGAAAGGTAATAAGTGTTTTCTTCTTTGATATCAAAGGGGAGCTAATATCAGAATCTAACTAGGCACCGGCGGGAGCAAATTTTTGAATCAACAACGTAAACTTATAACTAATCAAATCTAATGAAATAATCGATAAAATGAAGAAGAGCTATCGTTGTTTTTTGAAAGACAAAGACAACAAAGAAGAAGTGCTGCACAAAGAAGAAGTCATTCAAAAATTGCGTAGTAAACGGGACTTCTCAGCTGGGTACTTTAATGAATTTTTTATTTCAGAAGATCTGGCAACACAAAAGATAAGACAAAATACTAGCCAATCCTCAGTCACAAAAGGAAGAAGTGTTATGTAACTAGAATACAAGACAAAACAAAACTAATACCGAAGCCCTATCAAGACGATATAGACAGTTATTGTAGCATAGCAAAACAGAAGGAAAAGGCGCTTTGTCCAGTTTGTTCAATTTAGGTTTAGAGAGTATACCAACAATTGCACCTGAGCGATTAGCGCGTGCAAAGTTTTGAAAGTTTAAATATCAGGCCCTGGCAGTCGCGACGCGATTTGACAGTACTCCAACTGTTCATAACGTATCGTAACGGGTTTTTGAATGTACGGAAAAAAGGACATTTTATCAACCTACAAAAGTTATACATGCGATGCATTTGGGGTCTGCCAGTATTGAATCTGAATACATAATAATCTGGCAAATTGCCAGATCGCGTGGAGACTGAAAGCGTGAGGTATGCTCACAGCATACGTTAGACAAAACGGTTAAAAATACAAGTCTATTAGAAAGCAGAATTGGATCCGGTTTTGATTGAGAATCTTTACCGTAGATCTAGCGATTTGTAAATGCTATTCAAAGTTTCAAGATGATACACGTTTTTTTCCCAAACCACCACCGCAAGGATGTCTTTTAAGCAACTAAAATCCGAGGAAGTTTGCACAAACGGGAGTACTTGTCTCTCTGATGGGATAGTAAATACGATCAAGATCGACTTTAGTTTTTGAAATTGGAACAGAATTTGAAGAGTAAAAATGTCTGATACAGTGACAATACACTTTGTTTCCTTTCTAAGAAGCACTTGAGTCACTAGTAAGGATGAAAAAGTACTACGCAGGAGCATTACAGGAAATCAAACAGTAACTTAGTAACACTGAAATTAGGCTTGCATGAGACTGACTTGCGAGAGACGTCTTTCAAAGGGCCCAGCTAGGTTTGCTGTCAAAAATGATATGACCGGTAGAGTCTCCTTGCCTTAGAAGCGAAAAATGCTCATAATCAAGACACGCTTTTATAGACATATACAAAAATGTGAACTTCTTTGACGTGCCTGTCCATCTGGAGGACATTGAAACTCCTATTGTCGTGTGCAAACAGACTACAAAGAAAGAAATTGGCAATGAGTAAATTTTTATATTAAATGGGTTGTGTCGGTTATATCTTTTGGTTACACTAAACAGTAAAAATTAGAATTTTCGATGACTTCGAAAACAACGGAGAAATACTACATGATCTAAAGAAAGTAGAGAAGGCCATATGAAAGATTTGACTTCACAGAATGCGATGAGGAAAGAGGAATTTTCGAAAAGAGTAAACATTGTGAAGAGAAGCCCAAAACACCAAATCTGCGACATAGGAACAAACTGGGCGCCAAAAAACTTAGAATCTCCATACAGGGTGTTGTGAACCGACGTAATAAGGTGATGACGACGATCTTGTTCGGATGAGCGAAGTGACATTGATAAGGCCGTGTTATAATGATGCAAATGCATGCAAATATAACTTCATACAACAAAAGAGACATCAGCAACAAAGACTTGCCGTACTGCTACCGTATACTTAATCTTAAACAAATCAACCAATCGTAGGTGCGCTGAGGTGCGCTCAGCTGCGCCATTACCGTAGTCATGATGAACTCAATGCAGTAGCCATGACGATTCAAGAAATGCTTCTCGGCATCAAAACTCGGGCAAACATCGCAAAGACAAGAAAGAATAATGGCGATATCAAGCCAAACATATCGACTCAAGTACGATGTGGATCCCGCAGCAGTGTCCCCAGAGGGAACCGGAAGCGGCCTAGAGAATCCCATTTGACACAATCGTTGCGAGATGTGCTGCATACGAGGCACAGCCAGCAGATGCGACCAACCATGCGGATTCGACATTGAGGGCTCGGACGAAAAAGCTCGGTCTCACACACAGACAACTGCGAATGCGAAGCGGAGGGGGGCTCTCGCAGATTTCGCGCTTCAACTCATCGATTACATCCACAAAGCGTTGAGAATGGGAAGAAAGATGCAACCGCTCTTCTCTAAGCAACTGGTGATCCCAAATGAGGCCTAAGCAGAAGACTTAAATTAAAATTGCACTCGTATGTAGTTCTAGCGTCTCCCTCCTCTTCTTTGTAAGTGAACAAAGCTGTACAGCAAGCGATAACCCTGAGCAAAGTCATCTACCTGCTGGTCTGATTTTGCATCAGATTAGGAGTTTCTAAGAACATGCAGGAAGTCAGAGTCCCTAAAAACGACCCCTGTTCTTCACCTAAGAGTCACATGAGGGAGACCGGAAGCTCAGATTTGATGGAGTAACACAGCAATGAACACCCTCAAGAGATTCAAGAAGTCAAATAAAACATTTTCGTTTAAACAAAAGCATTTAGTCGCGAACAGGGCCAGGCACGGGTGGCACATGGGCAGACTAAATTTCTTTTGCCGGTATCAAAGTAAGAACTCGTATAAATGCGTATGTACGCGTATACACATGCTCATGAGCATCCACATCAGCTTACGAACAAGTCAAAACATGGCATCACTTACATGCCATAACACGTTCCAAAAGCATGCGAGATTCACATAACCTTGAGTCATTTGTAAATTAATATGTGAGACTGCACACTAAGCCCTATTAGCAACGGCACCAATACTAGTAACTTTTTAGTGAAACATTCTCTAGCCTAGCAAAATGCAGAAATGTGTTCTACTGACTAACATATAATCAACTAAAACAAAAGAAACAAGGAAGCAAGGAGAAACCACTAGAAATGAGCAGGTTCTTGTTTCGCAGTTCGTCAGTTAGCATGTATAGTGTGCACTACGCATATTAAGTTACAAATGACTCGAGCATAGCTTCCATTACCACTACGAAATAAATTTAGTTTGTTCTTGGCGAATATTGAATGATCAGGGAGCAATTGGCTGTCTGTGCGCATGAGGAAGCTCTAGCCAGGCGTAAAAAATTATCAGAAAACATGGCATACTTTTTTCTTTCAGGCACCAAAAGCAAAGGCGTAGCTTTGTCATCTCCTTACAAGGTGAATCTCTTATAGAATCTATTCTCTAACTCGAACCTTAGCTGGCGATATCGGGGCCATCCCGAACCTCTTTCCCTACAATCTGCATTAATTTTCATATGCTGTCTGAATACCACAGCTTTCGCCCTTTGTTGTGGTTTCTCTAGTTCCTTCTGTGTTTTCCTCAATTCTAATACCTCTGTAACATCATAAGTGACATCAGCAACCTCTAGTACTCTAATAACATTATAAGTAAGTCGTAAGTTCGAGTTTAGTCTCAAGAAGACTTCGTATCCAAAATTTCCAAGCACAAGCTCATGTTGAGCTCCGGCCCGCAATTCAAACGGCAATTTCATCATGTAAACAGACTACCTTGCTCGGATCTCGAGGAGCGCTCAAATTTTCTTGATCTTTAATTCAACGGGATTGGCATGGCTAGGGAATGGTCAGAGAGCACGCCCGCAAGGAAGACGTAGTCTGCGTCGCGGGTGCGAGCGGTCGCCTTCCAGCCGCCGATCCCGTTGAATCAAAGGGTAGACAACTTTGATATTTGAGCACTCTTTCTCCTGTTTTGATCCCTCCATTGTCTCCCTTCGTTTGTTCAACAGTGAAACTCCGCTCTGATGCCTATCAAAATGCAAAGTTCTCATTTGAAGACTGCCTCAACCACAACGTAAAGGAGTAGACTGCTACTGCTCAACAAACAACCCTTAGATTGAGCTCGCATTCAACTTCAAGTTTGCTGCACAGAGTTCTCTTAAAAGTTTTGCAGAATACCAAAAAAAAGAGCAGCGCCATTACTCTTATCAAGCGGAGATCATCGATCACTGTCTAGTCCCTGTCATTTCATACAAAGATGATGCACCGATGCAATTCATTCCCGTTTCGTTTTTCAGCACAGTTCCGCTTGCCACATGAGAACCAATCCGGGCCTGTCACTAATTTTTTATAGACGCAAAGATTGGATTCGGAAATGTGTTGAGAATCTAACCTGAGGATAATCACTCCAAGCCGGCATACTTCTACCTAAATTTTCACAGGTAAGTCCTCCCATCGGGTAAGTCCGTCTACAGATAAGTCCGCCTTCAGATAGGTCCTCTTTTGACTCAGTTAAGGCCCTTCAGATAAGTCCGCTTACAGATAAGTCTGTTTTCTTTCCGTTATAACTACCTGAAATTTCTTCAGATATGTCCGGACTTATCTGTAGACGGACCTATCTGATGGGAGGACTTATCTGTAAGATTCTTGGCGATGCGAGGGTGCATTTTCAAAGATTTTTCTTGTCAAAAAAGCGGACTTATCTGTGAGGTTTTAGGATAATGTAAAGCCGAAAAAGTAGAAATTTTGAAGGAAGTAAGAAACATTGAAATTTTCCGAGTGATTGATGACCGAATGCGCAAGCGAACCTTTTTGCGTGTCACCAACTCGAATGTTTCAAAGTGTAAAAAAATTAGTCAAGCTTGACGCGGTATTTTCATTCCAGATTTAGGTGATAGGCTCCACCCCCTCTGGCGTAATTTGTTCATCCTTATTCCCAAAAGTTTAGAGAACGTCTGAATTTCGGAAATCCCATAGTTTCAAAGGAGCTTCTCTCCGTCCGTTTCTGCCACATGAATTCTACACTAGAAACACAGCCATTCATTCATCTAAAGACTAACCGCAATTTGCACTTCTACGAAACCGCATGTGGAACCGTTGTCTCGCCAAATCACTTTTTCATTAACAAAGTTGATCGTGATTGTGATAGAGGAACCTGTTTAAATAGCTCTACGTTGCATGATTGTTGCCAGATTGTTCAGCACCAGTGAAGCTATCAAGGGTGAGTTGAATCTGCGCTTTGATCATAAAGTATGTGTGCATTTCTTGATTTGGTCTCTCTTCCTGATGTCTTTCGCAGAGCCTGATTAGCAATCCATACTGACTTTACCTTGGAGAGTGTAGAGAAATCACCGATAAATCTTCATTACTGTGGAATTACGGTAGTACTCTTACTGTTAGAATGACTTTTGCACCACAGGAAATCGACTCACTGCAGTCCCCAATGAAGATGAAACTTTTGTCGCCAACTATTTTAGTCTTTTTATGATTTTAAATATGGCTGATTTTAAATAAAAGCATGCATTACCGCAAAGCTTTGAAAATTACGTTAAGCGTAACCAAAGACAATATTTCCGTGTAAAAAACCTGCCTACAATATCTAAACTGCTCCACAAGACTATACAAAAATCTGCTAAAATCTGCATCTTCAATAAAGCCCCGGCACGAGTTCGTTTCTAGGCTTTTTGAAAACGAAGTCCCCCCTGTCGAAAATTTATGAAATCCTCTTTGACCCCTGCTTCTCCCACCCATCAAAATATTGAAGAAAGCTGGAACTGAAAATGAAAATTTGAAGGTTGACGCTGGGGCGCGATATCTAAGAGGGCGTTTTTCGAAAAAAAAAGAGTGTAAAAAATGACGGGCAGGGGGCGATATGAAACTGTCTCTCTATGCTCAGGGGTAGATTCTTAACCGGGGCATCCATCCATGCTGAAAAAACGCGAAACTTATGTGAAGTGACGAAAATATATGCTTCAGACAATCTCAGACCGTCTGGTGGCCGTCTGGAAACGGACTAATTTTGGAAAAGGTATTTCTTCAAATAAGTTTTCAAATTTTTTACAAAAGTTCTTCCATAAATAATTTTCTATATATACGGCTCAATTTTGGTGTCATATTATTCTGTGTGCGCTGTAAACAAGCAAATGTTTGTTTTAGCTTTGCTTTCAAATCGCGCGCACTTTTCGCCAAACACGATAGAGCATGTCAATCGTGTGACAACCTGTCCGAAAAGCTTGCGTTTGACTAAATAACGCTTATCCTTGGTGCTCGGCCCCGATTCCGAAGAAACGATATCCACTTTGCTTTTTGCTCCAAAAACGAAGTCTAGCCTGCTTCCAGACGACCTGTGCCGGGCCTTGACTGGGGTTTTTAGATGTTCAAAAAATTTTTAAATTCGCAGGTTAGGACGTTTTTGAGCTGTGAGTTCGCACCGTAAAACTACAGTAATGAAGAGCAGTCAGTGGTTCACTCCACACTTTGAAGGAAAATTGAAAGCCAGCCGTAGAGATTAACTACACTCTATTTTGTTTAATTCGAAGCATCTTCTGAGTCGAAAACTTGCCAGGAATTCAAAAATGTACTTTTAGATCCCTAAATGTTATTGTCAAGGAAATTAGCGCCGTGCGACGGTTTTGTCGCCACAAATACGTCGCGATAGGTCAAACAAAAGTTTTTTGAAAAATTAGACCTAAATTCTAAACCGCCAGATTCGTAGCAGTCCAGTGGTGATTTCAGTTTCTTCCAAAATCTGCTCTGAAAGAAGTTATAGCAGTTCGACGTTTTTTTCACTATAAAAACGCAGCGATGGAAAAATTTATCGCAATCCGTTTTTTCCCAAGAGTTAGGAGCTCAATTGCAGAGACCGTTGAAAAACATTACGACAAGACAGGTCTAAAAAATGTCAGCTAAAATAGCGACATTATTAGGATACCTTTGTATAGGGCAATTTTGCTACAGTATACGTAAAGTTGTATAGTATTGTACCGATCTCATGGAAATTTCCCCTTGAGTAATTACTCATTACGAAAGTTATGAACAAACCCTTTCAGATGTACACCTTGTATATAATACACCACTGCTTATAATGAGTGCCTATACCAAAGCTGATAGCAATGTTCGTCTTTCATTCACCAACATCAATCTCAGAGAGATAAAACCTAAAGCTCGAAAGCTATTTTCTTCTTTTCATCTATGACAAAATATCTTTTTAGCATCATAATGTCGACGGCTTTTGTGCTAGTTACCAGTGCTGCGTCGGTGATCACCATCGTCATGCTTATCATCATGAGCATTATTGTGAACGACATTAATAGCCTTCATGATGAGATTACCGAGGGAATGAAGGAGTTTAGGGTAAGTGACTTGACACTTTCTAGTTATCTTCAAGTTTGAAAATCTTCTTTCCAGATGGACAGCGACGGTGCATGGAATATGATCGTAGCTGGTTATGCAGACGCGAGCAACCAACTTTCAAAAACGAAACGACAGGCTGCAGCGCAAAGACCCGGTTGCGCATGTGCAGCAGCTATTTCTACTTGTCCACCCGGACCTCAAGGACCGCCTGGAATCCCAGGACCACCAGGAGAGCCAGGAACGGACGGAGCACCAGGCAGCCCGGGTGTATCCGGAATAGGAGTTCTAGTCCAACAGCAAACCGACCAAGCATGCATTAAGTGCCCGGCTGGACCCGAGGGACCGCAGGGGCCAGCGGGAGAGGCTGGTCCGCGCGGTCCAGATGGTCCACCTGGTCGTGAAGGAATGCCTGGAAGTCCTGGCGAGAGCGGCCCGCCTGGTCCTGATGGTGAAAAGGGTCCAACTGGCCTTCCAGGCATACGAGGCATGCCTGGTCCGGCAGGTCTGCCGGGAATACGCTACACTCCGGGAAATGCAGGAAAGCCGGGACCACAAGGACCACCAGGACGCCAAGGGCCACCGGGTAAAGATGGAGACGCAGGTCCTAGAGGGCCGGAAGGAATGCAGGGACCATCAGGAATGCGAGGACATGATGGTCCTCCTGGTAAAGATGGTGCACCTGGTGCGCCGGGTACCCCTGGTAAACCCGGGAAGGATGCTCATTATTGCCCATGCCCAGGAAGAAGTCCGTTTTAACGACTTTTATACCAATAAAAGGCTATTACTACCACTCGTTAATCAATCCTTTCCAATTACTAATGAAAAGTTCTCGTCTCAACAATAGCAACATCAAGGTCGTTTAGTTTTTTTAATTTAATATGAAGGGTGTTTTTCTCTACAGTGTGACCAAAATGCAGCACAAAGTATGATATGAGAGATCTTTAGGAGGACCTCAGAAAAAAAAACGGAAACCAAACCTCAGTGTAAGCCGGGTAGAGGAACAAACACCTCATTAGGCACGCCTCTGCGGATTACTGGTCCTAACACGATGCGCAACAGTAGGACGAGAGGACCAGCAGCCAGCGGAGGCGGTGTCTAATTGACGCTTTCCTCCCTTTACCCACCCAAGCCTGTTGACGCATTTACCCATATTTCGAACTGTATCAGCTTGTTAGAAGTGGAGAAGTTTGAATAGAACCAATTCCAGGACTGGAGCATGCCATCACATAGTTTTTGTAAGGAGATGACCGTTTCGCACTACAGTAGCCACCCTGAGTAGCGCGTCTTGACACGTCAACACGCAAATCTCAATTTTTTATCCATTTTGCTTGAACAAAAACCACGCAGAATGTGTCGCTCTTGCGGTCCTGTGTGGAAATGCTCGGCGCTACGGTTGTGGGAGTCGAAAATTGGGCTAGAGGACGTTAGGTCGGCTCCACCTGCGCTGACACCTAGCACGCGCTGCGTGATGGAGAGAAGAGCATCTGTCACAGTTGTCGGCGCGGGCCCCACCCTTCGACGACCCAATGTTCTCTACCCATTAAAGTGTACCAAATCTAATTGAAATCAGTGCTTTATCAGTGGATCTTCAATCGATGATGCAAAAATCAATTTACTCAATTTATTTATTGCTCTTCTAAACCAATAAAAGGTGTATCTTGCTCATAGAGAGCAATGTAATGAGATACGTATGAATAAGTTATTTCAGCCCGTTTTCTCCACGTTTTCTATCTCTTTAGCACTTTGCAGGCCCTCAGGGTCGGTCGCAGAATCTGCGAAAGAATATTCAGTTTAGTTCAGGATTGGTTTTTACCTACTTACTCTGAACGAGCACAACAAGTTCTCGTCAACATTCATGACAGCTGCCGCATTGTCGAACTGACCGCAATAATGTGGAGCGGAAAATATTGTGACCAATCTACGGTTAGCAAAAAACTCGTACCCGTCTTGTACCACCTAAAACAACCCTTCATTGCCCTAGTTTGCGAGAATGCTGTACCTGATGTGCTCTGGCTACTAGTTCGATATTCAAACCGCGACTCATTTCATATACTACATCTGGTCCAAAGACATACGACACACCACGCGAATTTGAGGCCCATCCCTAAAAATTATTGGTTATTCCCCGTATTGTTAGAAACACTTACTTTGATGTAGTTATCAGGATCACTCCAAAGTAGATCTATGTGAAGCGAGGGATTGGGTGGGTCGATGGGGCGTGTTATTTGCCGCAATTGTTCCAAAGATTTTAACTGAAAGATTTTTGATTAAGAGAAAAGAATATAGGCAATTCATCGCACGCAGAAACAGGTCGTCACTGCGGACTTTGTCGGCGCCGTCTGCTGCCTCTCCCAAACACGTACTGTCTTGTTCGAAGGCGGTGGCGTTCAGTCATTGCGCGCGATGAACTGCCTTTTTTTCGGCAGTGCTGGGCCAAATATCAAAAAATCTTTTGCATTCGCTTTCTAGGCTAATGTCCCTAGTTGTGATGGTTGAGAAGAGTTTTAGATTTGATTACCTTCGGTGACAATCCTCCATGCATGCAGAGAATCTTCCCAGAAATCAGTGCCGTGAAAGGCAAAGTGGCAAATGCGTCCTTTAAGGTATGTGCAAATTGAATTGATATCTATGAATCTGGAAGGTATTCTCACCTGGAATTGTAACCATAATCTAGTGCTTTGATAGCGCCGATTGCACTCTTCGAAAAATCCATAAACGCGATTTATGGGGGAACATTCATGATTTCCGCGTAGTATGAAGAAATTTCCTGGATACTTGATCTGGAAATTGTATTCATTTGTCACTGGGCAGTCTTATGTGTGTGGCTTTCTTCAAAATTTGTAAATGTTGAATTTTAATCTAGTCAGTGAAGCTTGTCCCGTTCTTTCCACCATACTCAACTACTGCTAGACGACACAATAATGGACATACCTTGTAACAAAAGAACAATGCGATGCATTCCAGGTTTTGTTGTCCTCGATCCACATAATCACCCAAAAAGAGATAGTTGACAAAGGGTGGAAATCCAGAACGATCAAGTAAACGCAAAACATCTGCAAACCCTGTAATTAGTCTCCGGAGTTGAAGCGACGGTTTTTACCTGCATATTGTCCATGAATATCTCCACATATTTTGACAGGAGGTTTTAGATCAATCAAAGATGCTTGACTGAGAAATACTTGCCTTAACAACGAAACCACTTTCAGAGATGCGAGCGGCGGCGACGCGGGCGCATAGCTAGCTTGCCGCATCAGCTATAGTTGATTCGTTGACCGCACGGACTGTATATCACGCGAAGCACGCGCCGCGATGTAAAATGCTTGTCCCACTACAAATTAGCCATTGTACAAGTCGTGCTCCCGCGACAATTCAGCCGCGCCGCACATTGTCTGCAGCGTTTGGCAGTTCGTGCGGTCAACGAATCGACGATATATACAATCTATCCCAAGTTCAGTGTCTCCTGTGCGTACACATCTGCAGTGCTATAGTCCGATCAATAAAGGATGATTTCACTTCTCAAGCCGAATGCTCGCGAACGCAGCGCGAAGTACTTGCGATGCGGGTGCCGCGCAGACGGGGTCACCACTATGGAGACAGACTGTATAGTCACTCACCTAGCTATCGTACATAGATTCATCAGCTCGCCTTCTTTGACGCTACTAACAAGTGAAAATCCGGGCGTGGCAACACTCAATATTCGTATGATCAAATCATCAACGTTAACGCCGGTCCCACCCTACAAGTAGCAGTTCGAGACCGAGAACATTCGACCAACTGACACAAAGATCGTGTGTCTACACAGCACCTTGCCGGGAAACGACGGATTGATGACAGCAGTTTGCATAGAATGAATCAAACCCGCCTTTCATTTGTTTCGTTCTATTTATATATTTGCCACTTTGTCTAAAGATAAATTCCTCAAACGCTGTTGATCATAGCTACAGCGCGGTTGCTACTCTTGATAGCCGCTAATGTGTGATTCAATTTTTTGATAACGACTTCCTGCTGCAGGAGTGGAGCCTTGCAAATTAGCTTGCAGGTGCACTTTTGATGACACCGATATCGTCGAACTTCCAAACCTAAAACTGCCATTCGAATTACTCGCTATCAAGGTCTCCACACGTACAAGCTGCTATGCTCCTTCCTTATTTGCATGTACAGTGACCGCCAAAAAGTTGCGAACAAGCCCCCCCCCCCCTTTCTTTTTCCATCGCTTATTTTCGGATGGAAAACAAAGATGAAAAAATGATTGGGTTGCATAAGATGATAGAGTTCTTCAAGCTACAACTCACACTTTGCGCCTTCTGGAAAATATGTATTGTAAAAGTTTCAGAAATCTTTTTCTAAAAAAAGTCCGGAAATGGCCGCGTCACAATGGTCGCGAATAATTCTTTGAACGCGAAAATTTTCTTTTAGGTCTTTGTTTGGAGCAAAAACAGAAGTTTTCCTAACAGATAAGCATACTATATTATAGAGCTCATCAAGCACATTAATCAGGTACGGCGACCTCAAAATCTAAGCTTGAATTTTATTTTGCTTTTTCTAAAATAACTTCTGATAACGTTTTCCAAGACAAATTACCACACATGGAAACCTATTCATAACATCTTAACGAAGCTCTTCAGATAAAATGGATGCTCTTTGCCATCCTCTATGCATCGTGTGCTGTTGAGTTTTTTGCTGAAATATCTCTGACAGTGCGTGCACCTGACCCCATCTGCACTTCACCACTGACTTGTACCGCTTTGCAAGCATTTAGCTCGGCCAGCAGTCAGTCTACGAGCCTGCAAGGTTCATTTGAGAGAGCGCGACTTAGTCGACGCGATCATATGCAAATGAGTTGAGTATGAGAAGTCCAGGAAATTTTGCGGATGGATTGAAAAAACACAGCCGTGAAGGTGATTAGAGTGAGAGCTCCTATCAACATTAAAACAGTCTTATAGCTTTGAAATGGATCTATTACAAGAAAATTGACAGTTTAAATTTTCTAGATCTGTAGCGAAAAGAACTCTGTTCAACCTTTGCTGAAACGCTTTTTTCACCCCATCCGTAAACTCTGAGATTTCTCAAACTCAACTCATTTGCACACCTTGTCGTCGAAGTCACGCCCTTTCGAATGAGCCTACTTGCAGGCTCGTGGAATGACCGCAGGCTGGGTTGCAAGCCTGCAAAACGGTGCAAGCTAGTGGTGTGGTGCCGATGGGGTCATGTGCACGCCCTGTCAAGAGCCATTTCAGCAAAGAAACTCAAAGCACATGTTCGATGCATAGAGGATGGCAAAGAGCATCCATTTTATCTGAACAACTTCGTTAGGATGTTCTGGATAGGTTTCCATGTAGAGCAGTTTGGCTTGGAAAAGGTTATTAGAACAAAGCCTTTTTGATGGCCTTCCTAGGGACATTTCGCTTCGCGAGGAATCCACTCTGATGTTCTAAGTGTCCATCTAGCGTCTGCTCGCCTGCTCCTCCAAGTAGGAGCGAAGCTCCGGGTCAAGTTAGTCGGTGGCTTCCTTCAGAGGCCCGGATGCTTTTCAGGCTGCTCTTCTTCTCTGATAAATTTTTCCTAAAGTCGTAATGCGTGTTCATCGTACGTCCAAGACGTAAGAAGATGTCTCCATAACAGGGGTGCCAACTCATTCCATTTCCGCATCTGCGCAAAGGACGTTACTCATGATGTTCTTCATTACTTTTTAGTCCTTCAGCATTGCCTCTGCCTCCAGTGATACTGCCCAAAAGGAGAACGATGTCGTGCGCAAGACGAAGGTTCAAGAGGGATCTCCCATCAACTCGTATGCATTTCTCGTCCGAGAGTGACTTCATCACCCACTGCGAAACAGCGGTGAGCAGCTTCGGCAAAGTGTGTCACCTCGTCGGATCTTCCCATTTGGGATGTTCAGGAGTTATGGGCTGCATTATCACAGTACAACCCTGTAGCAATCGGCTAATGTTCTCACTAAGGTGGCTCCAATCTTTGATCGACTAGTGCTGACAGAATAGCGTTAATTTCAACGCTGTCAAAGGTTTTTTCGTAGTCTACAAAAGCAGAACGAGAGGCAATTGGTACTCCCGGCAAACTCCTGCAATCCTCAAAACCGTCTGAATGTGTTTTATGCAGCCCTTTGCGAAGCTTGTTCTTGGGACTGGGCTTCATATGTCCTTGACATGTAAGCGAGAAATCCTTGTGAAAAGCTTGTACAGCACATTCAAGGCATACTGGACGGTAGTTCAAAATAAAGTGGTGGTTCAGTGCCGATTATCTTGCTTCAGCCGTCCAAACTGTCGTGTCCACACACCAGCGATGATAACTGCTTTATCGGAAGCGAAGTCACAAGAAGAATGATCATTATCCAAGAAGGGAAATGACTAAAGCATACGTAAACAAACATTGAAACTGCATAAACACATTTCTACATTACAGCAATGTTGTTGGCTTCTCTGGTTGCGATCCGCGATACAAAACATCTTCCCGTTCGCTCTTCTTGAGGGAATGGACATTTACTGAGTTCTCTACTGTTCGGGAATCCTTTCATCCTGAAGATACATATTAAGTGCTATGCGAGTATTTCTGTAGACGCTGTGCTGGACACGCAGAAGTTCGACGGAAGGATGATCTGGTCCCAGAGCCGTAGACGGCTTCATGGCCTGGATAGCATTGCGCGCTTCAGCAGGTAGTATTTGTGGTGATACTTCTCCAGTGGGAAAACCGGCATCGGCACGGGTGTTGATGAGCGGAAGAGGTCGGTGTAGGAGTTACTTGTGATATATTCCATCTTATTTCTGGAACACGTCCCGTTTTCTAACAATAATGCTGCCAGCCTCACGTAAAATTCACATTGCTCTCTTTAGGCCGGCAGACTTCACGCGATTTGATCATCGCGACTGAATCGCGACGAGACAACTGTTATAACATCATTCCAGGCCGATCAACTTGCATTCGGTTGTGATACTTCTCCGGACCGAAATTCTTGAATGTGAAATGAAAATGAATGGGAATCTTGGCGATTAGATCGCGACGATTAAGTCGCGTGAAGTCTGACCGGGGCCTTAGCACTTCTCAAAACTTTGTCTTCTTTTAACTGCTTTCAGCATCTTAGCTCGCCCCCTACCTCCTGCAAATCTTTCTGCAACTGGCATTCGCTATCACGCTCGAGATGCATTCGAATCTTTCGATAAAGATCTTCTTCTTTTGAGTAATTTCTTTGTGGTCTTCGAAATGCGCTCCAGGTAACGGCTTCTTTTTGCAGCACTGTGACAGACCTTCTTTTCCAGCCGGCGAAATCGGAGCCATGCAGAAGGATAGAACTTCTGAAACATCAAGCAAGCTTTACCTGTGGTCGATGAGGATGTCCTCCTCCACAGTGACCATACCGTTGGGTGATTCCCAAATCCACTGATGATCTTCTTCCTTTATAAAAATAGAGTTTTCATGGAAAGTCGGGAAGAGAGAAGCCCAACGAGACGGTTGCCGTTTTCGTTGCGCAGCCCATACTCAAACTTCCCTACCTTATACTATACCAGTCCAAAGCGCCGCGAAGCGGCGCTTTGAACTGGCTATGTGTGTAAAGTAAGATGTGACTAAGAGTTAGAACTTACGAATTTCTGCGGAGAATTTTTTCGACACTCAATCTTGGAGATTATCTAAGTCAAGGGCAACGAATCTCCCCTGCACACGCTAACCCAAGCCATGGTTCAGCTCACGTCTGCGGTCTGCGCAAATAGTTGAGTTGGGAACTCTCTTTTTCCTCCTCATTTTCTTCGACTAAGATGCCATGAGGGCAAACGCAACACAAACCCTTTGCGTTGCGAACGCGCATTTCTGTCAAAGGTTTTAGCCTTATTACAATTGCGACATATACCCGACAAAGTTATCATTTCTTCGACATTTTGCGGTTATTGCATTAAACGTTTACAAACTTCAAAAAGTATATCTGGCCGAAGTGACCGTCTCACACTCGACGAGTTCTCCCATCCCTGACCACTCCTTTGCTGTTCCCATCCGGGGTCCTGCTTTCCACATTAAGCACCGCATGCACTAACATGGCCGCAGGGAGGGGATCGCAGCTTAAAAGAAAGCTTCAGAATATGAAGCTTAGCTTATGGCTTGGGTTAGCGTGTGCAGGGAAGATTCGTTGCCCTTGACTTCGATAATCTCCTAGATTGAGTGTCGAAAGAAATCTTACCGTGTTTTGAGGAAAGAAGGTTCCCCGCAGAAATTCGTACTGAAGCTCCAGATATCTGGATTTCACGTTGTGTACCTATCCGTAAGCATTCCTACTACCCTTCAATATGAACATCGAAAAGGAGCGAGAAGCTGTACGAATCGCATTTTCCAGCTTTTGTATGATCCCTGATGATCCCCGGCGCTTTTCTTTGAAGTCATTTTTCTTTTTCCGACGTTATTAACGAAAACCTTCCAAAGTTGTACTGAACATCTAACACAACAGTGCATGTTGCTGTCGAGAACAAATGAGTTTTTGAAAAGTCGAATTTTTCGGTAAACCTCAAATTTCGACCTGCGGATGATCGAAAATTTCATGACTTCAAAACATCATTTGTTCTTATCAGCAACATGCTTAGCACCGTTGTGTTAGATGTTCAGTACAACTTTGGAAGATTTCCGTTGACTTCGGAGAAAGAAAAATGACTTTAAAGGCAGTGTCTCACCAAAGTTGAGGTCGCGCGGATCTCCACATATTCTATTATAGGGACCTCTAAGTAGGCCATTGCAACAAGTCCCATTCAATTTGACCCCCTCCACGCTGAGAAAAATTCGCTCAAAGTGGTACGCCCAGAGCGACTGGGTACGCGCGGACGACTCCTTCGGTTTCCCCCCTTACGCGTTTGA